AGGCTGAAGGCTCTGAAGACCAAGTGCAGAAAGACTCTGAAGACTAGATTCTGAAGTTGAAGATTATATAGCTTCACCCAGACAAAGACATGTTAATCAGATAAGTTGTTGCTATCCACTCTGATAAACAAGGTGCTGAAGTCTAACGACTCTGATGTTATCATGCTATCATACCAAAGTAGTTTCTGAACTACTAATCAGATATATCATCAGAAGAACCAAAGTCAGAAGCTGATCTGTCCAAGCTGATAAATGAAGATCACATCATTTGTGGATAAGAGCTGTCTCCCACAGTGATATATTAACGTCACAAGAAAAGGACAAAGAAAGTGATGTCAATGTACTATCCAACACGTGCTTATTCTATCCGTTGGGAAATGACCGTTGGAATTTGAAAGGACATCTCTACCCTCACAACGACTCTTTTGGATGAACTATAAAAGAAGAACATTTGATTCATTCAAATGTTAGCAACGTAGCTAGTTGACAAGCATGTTAGCAAGCTAGTTGATTAACAAGAAAAGCTTTATGCTGAGAAGCCTCAGTGCTCACATAAGAAAGCTTTTAAGCAATATGGAAACTAATGTTTTAATAATCTCTTTGAGATTTATCTTTAAATAGTTTCTGTATTAGAAAGCAAGACAACTCAATACTTGCTATGTACTTTAATTAGGAGTAATCTACTTGATAAGAAGCACTCATGTAATCTCCGACAACACAAATTCAATTTAGAATTGGTGGTTCCTCAAGTAATCAAGTGAAGATCAGAATACTTGAGAAGACGAGTGGTTGCTGTCATAGTGATTAAAATCCTAACAGGAGATCTTGAGGGATCAGATTCTGTTAGCTCAATGAACGTTATATCTGAAAGGATCACTGAATGTGTCATTGTCTGATTGTTAGTCACCAGCAGTTTGCTTGTGCATCTGTAATCAGTTTGGTTATAGTGGATTAAGTCCTTGATTGAGAAAGGCAAAATCACCTTGGAAACGTGGACTGGATTAGCTTGAGAGTTGCTCAAGTGAACCAGGATATATCATGTGTTATTTACTTGTATTATGCTTTATCATTTATGCTTCCACAATGCATCTTATAGAATCACGTAAAGCAACAAGTGAAGAGGCGAAAATGTTTATTGAGGTGAAAACCCAATTCAAACCCCCCCTTCTTGTGTTTTTCTCACACCTTCATATTTTTCAATATTCTGTGTTAACAATTTAATTAAAAAAATATTTTCACCTCGATTTTTATAGAATCAGAGGGGACAACTTAGCGTGATAATTTTAGATATTGGTCACCGTCCTTAAACAAATCTTTGTTGTTCATTTCATGATTATCAATGCTCAAGACACTACCATTAGTGATCTTCGTGATACCTAAAAAATTTCCATTATGAAAGCTTTCTGATATCTATAATTGATAAAGAAACGTCATGAAGTGATATATACTATCTATATCCACCACTTTAACTTTTGCCATTAGCAGAAAATTATCTGGTTTTAAGGTTTGTGTTTTTAGATATTCATTTGAGCAGAACATCATTTATTTTTATATTTTTTTTCTAACCCTTTTATTGTTTTATATCAGAAACAAATACTTGCAAGGTAAAACATTTGACTTTGCCCAAATATTAAGGAGTCGAAGATCTAACATATGATCTTCAAGGATAAATTAACTTTTATTTTAATATTATGTGTAAACAATATAATATTCTGAATAAATATTGAAGTTCGTAAACAAATTATTTGTATTTATTTTCTGTGTAAACAATGTAACGAATTTCAATTAAAAAACAATCTATCTTACTCATTGGTTTAATTGTAAGTCGAGATATGTGAGGTTAGTTTTGTAAATAATAAAAATGCAATTGTTGGGGTTCGAACTCATGTGCAAATTAATTTACCCCTCAGCGTTTAAATAACCAAGGTTATAAGTTGTTACTTTTCATGACGACGTCCGTTACCTTGCTACTACAGCTGAGGTAAAATGCATATCACGTCTGATGTTAAAAGCATTTTTTTTAGTAGTGAAAGTTGAAACTAACATATAACCATAATTAATGGTCTGTGATAAAGTAGCGTGTGGTAGTAAGTGAATTACTTACCACCACTGGCTATTGGTTGTGGTAATGAACTGGAAATCATGTTACATGTCATCATGGTTGTAATAACTAACCGTAGTAAAAAATTAAATGATCCTGGGATTGATACTGAACAATGTAACACCCCAATTTTTGAAATTATTTTATTTTATTAGTCAATATATACTTATATAATTTAGTGGTGTGGTGTGTGTATTTTGTGGGATTATTTGAGGTGAGATTGAATTTATACTATTTATCGTTATTTTTGTATTAATTAAAATAATAAAAATTTGGATAAAATATAAAATGGTGAGATATATGGTTAAAATTAGAATAATAAAATAAGTGGGTTTAAAGAAGAAAAAAATAGAAATTATGGAAATTGAGAAGGTGGAGTGAATTAGTAATAAATAAGGGAATGAGTGGAGTTATTGAAAAATAAAAATAAACTAAATTTTCATGATAAGGATTGAGGGAAAAAGAAATCATTATGTGAAATTGGGAGAAGAGACAAGAAAGGAGAACGAAAACTCTAGGAGAGCTAGAGGAAGAAGAGAGAATTGTCATTGTCAAGTTTGGAGTTTTTCCGTAAATTCAGACAAGGGTGATTATTCAATTATAAGTGTGTTTTTCATAAAGGATAGAGATGGATCCTCATCCTCTCATTGTTGATTGTGCCATCCTCCATTGTTGAGGTTTAAGAATTATATAACCTTTACAATTGATTTGATGTATTATTGATTCCATATATTCTAATTATGATATGCGTTGTCATGATGGGAATTGTGTGATTGAATGTCAGAAAACATTAGAGATGATGATGTTTATAAGTTGATGTTAGGTGTTGACGAAATTCATGATGAATTGATATGATGAGGTTAGTTTTGATGTTGTAATGTGTTAATTTCCCTTTGATTCATGTACCCTTAGTTATGATATATTTTGGGATTGTTAGAAGTTAAAATTTAGAATTTGGGGTCTGATGCAAGTATCCAAAAAATTTGTGAGTAAGTCATCTAGATGTTGGTTGGAAAAAAGAGACACAAATGAAAAAAATTGGCTTTACAACTTTTTTATGACAATGTGAGAATCCAAAATTTAAATTAATGTGCTTGGTTTTTGGAAGTAACTTGTACAAACACTACTACAAATTACATATTTCACAAGGTTGAAACTGACATATAACCACGATTAATGGTCTGTGGTAAAGTAACGTGTAGTGATAAGTGGATTACTTACAACCACAGACTATTGGTCGTGGTATTGAACTGGAAATCGTGTTACATATCATCATGGTTGTAATAAACAACCATAGTGAACAACTAAAAGATCCTGGTTTGATACCGAACAATGTAACATCCTAGTCTTAGAATATATTTTATTTTATTGAGTCAATATATACTTATATAATTTATTGGTGTGGTATGTGTATTTTGTGGGATTATTTGAGGTAAGATTGAATTTACACTATTTATCGCTATTTTTGTATCAATTAAAAAATGGAAATTTGGATAAAATATAAAATAATGAGATATGAGATGGAAAATAGAATAATAAAATAAGTGGGTTTAAGGAGAAAAAAGAAATTATGGGAATTGGAGAGGTGGAGTGAATTAGTAAGAAATAAGGGAATGAGTGAAGTTATTAAAAAATAAAAATAAACTAAATTTTTATTAGAAGGATCGAGGGAAAAAGAAATCAGTAAGTGAAATTGGGAGAAGAGACAAGAAAGGAGAACAAAAACCTTAGGAGAGCTAGAGAAAGAAGAGAGAATTGTCATTCCCATGTTTGGAGCTTTTCCGCAAATTCCGATAAGGGGGTTATTCATTTATGAGTGTGTTTTTCATAAAGGAAATAGAGAGATCATCATCCTCTTTATTCTTTGATTGTGCTATCCTCCATTGCCGAGGTTTAAGAATTGTATGAGGTTTATGCAAAACCTCTAAAATTGATTTGATGCATTATTAGGAGACTAGCCGAAAAATGTCCATTCAGATGATTCATTGCGCTATACTTCTAAAGAATCACACAACCAGTGCTATAAATACCAATGTTGGAAATTCACCAAAATCTATGGAGAATTTCGCCGCACAAATGATAATGAAAGAGGAAACGAAAAGATGAATTGAAGAAGAAAAGAAATTAAGGTTTTTAAGAAAAGAGGGACAGTATGAATATTTCTGCAGAGTTTCTCTCTGCACTTTAAACTGAATTTTTTTTATACAAATATGCAACTGCATTTTCTCTTATTTTTAACCATAGGGGTTGCTTCCTATTTATAGGTTGAGTTTGTTTGCTCACTAAGAAAAACTCTAACTAACCTAATTCAGCTAAAATTATAAAATAAGCCTAAATCGAAATCTCTATCAAACAACATGCTTCAACATTTTGATATAAACGTTTCAACATTTTCTTACCCCTATCAAGCAACCTACTTCAACCCAAGAAATTACAATTCTATATTAATAACATGCTTTTAGTTAAAAGACTAATGCATAATTTGCCAAGCATAAGTAAATTAACCGACAATATATGTATGTCTTCAATCAAACATAAGTGATATAAGACTATTAGTAAAAAAGGATAAGGTTTTAGTGACGTTCATGCGGCAAAATTACCGTGCCGTTGTCTCATTCTCTCCATCTTTCTTATTTTGCAATTTCTTTCATATTCTTATTATTTATGTTTTTTTCTACCAAAAACATCATTATTTATGATTTATATTTAATCTCAAAACTTTATTTATTTATTTGAGTACTCTTTAAAATAAATAAATTGACATAGATTTAATTTGTTAAACTCATCTATGACAAATCATTGCCATATAACATAAATATATAACAATTAAACCCATCGTGTGAAGGGTTTAAACGGCGACTACGCCGCCGGTGACAAGCTTTCCGCCCAGGACAATAAGATGACTTCTACTGCAATCACCACTCTCTTCATCTTCTCCGAATTCCGATCCAAATTCCCCAATTCGCTTCTTCTTCCACGGATTCATACCCGCAACAAACCCCTATCACTTTTTCTTCAACCATCCAAATCCCGCGCAACCCATTTCTCACTCTGCTCTTGTTCCCGCACCCCAATCAAACCCTCTTCAAGTTTCTCACCTCAAATTAGTTTAACCAAATTTATTTCACAAAAGATAGCATGTTTTCTTATTGGGTCGTTTATCTTCATCGGTTACTTCAGCAAAAGACCCGCTTTTGCAGTTGCGGTACCTTCTCTCAGTTCTGCTGAAACGTTGGAGGAGAAGATTTTGGAGAAGGATCCTAGAAATGTTGAGGCTCTCAAGGTGACCGTGTATGGGAAAATTAGGAGAGGGAAGTGTAATGAAGCTGAGAAGTTTGTGAAGAGGTTGATTGATAAGGAACCAAATGAAGTTGAGTGGAGGCTTTTGCTTGCACTGTGTTATGAGACAATGGGGTACTTGAGTAAGGCTACGGGATTGTATTTGGAAATCTTGGAGAATAGGCCTCTTCTTGTTAGAGCTCTGCATGTAATGTTTCTCAGTCTATATGTCTCTTTTTGTTTTGATGCAATTTTGAATGTGATTGAAAAGTTTGGTGTGAAATTGAATGCTTTGTTTAGGTTAGATAGGTTTTGACAGTGATGGATTAGAAATTTAGATTTGTTATTTGAATGTTGATAGTTATTGACTTATGTGTGTTTGGATTGAGATATCTATTGGCATAAACACTTGTGAGAATGTTTGAGAGGGTTTATGGAAATAGCTTATAACATGTCCATAAGTTGTTTATAACTAGTTTTCACAAGTTTCTCTACGAATAACTTATGAAAACAATATATAGCTTATATGAAAACAGTTTATGTAAGAACTAACTCAACACATGAATTGTTAGTATCTAGTGAGATTCAAACCGGAGACTTTGAGATGAGCGCTCTCAGGTCCTAAGTCTAAGTCTTCACCAACAGGCCAATCTCTGGGGTTTATTTTCATTTTATTATGTTAAGTATAATGTTATTATTATTCGTACTATTTATGCAAGAAATGTATATTCGTCATTCCCCTTGTTTCAACTAAGCTTGTGTAGCTCTTCTTTTAACAAAGGTTCTTGGTATCTTATTTGAGTGCCATGAATAGCATTGATGTTTTCTAATACATATTTCAGATTGAAGATTTTTTGTTTTGTTTAGGCCTTGTTATTTGTTGTATGCATTCTTTGAAAAATATCTTTCATTTTAATTTAGTTCCAGATGTAAAAGCAGCTTGCTAGATGCTTATTTGACTGCATTTTGTGGTGATATATTAAAAAAAAATAATGAAATTACAATTTCATATCATGAAATCAAGTTACCGCGACACTTCATTTGTTTGTCGTGCTTGTTCATTTACGACTGAGTTGACTGATACTCTCTTTTCAACAGGGTCTGGCTATGGTGATGCACAAAAACAACGAAGGTCCCGCCGTATTTGAAACGCTGAACAAGGCTCTAGAGTTAGCTATTAGTGAAAACAAAGTTACCGAGGAGAGAAATATAAGAATCTTAACTGCACAAATGCTTGTTGTACAGGTGAATTGCCGATACACCAGTTCGGAATAAAGCATAAACAATATGTCAAGATTTGATAATCATTTGTAAAAACATAACATTTGTGTGTTTTGTAGGGTGAATTGGAGGAGGGCTTAAAAAGATGTCAAGATTTGATCGATCAAAATCCTCGCGATTTTAGACCTTATCTTTGCCAGGTGAGTTTTGTATGCAAATTATTCTTCCATTCATGAACTGTATATTGATTTATTATAAGAACATTATTTCAGGGAATAATATACAGTCTTCTGGATAAGAAGGAGGAAGCTGCAAAACAGTTTGAAACATATCAAGCTCTTGTGCCTCAAGAGTTTCCTCAGAAGGGATTTCTTGATGATATCACGTTAGCAGCAAAAGGAACATCTCAAGTACAGTTTCAGAAGGAATTCAGAAATCAGTTTTCTAACCAAAAATAGGGAAAGGAAAAATATAGTATGTTATGAACAATTTTATAGCTTTTTTTTTTTATCAAAACAATTTTATAGCTTATGAATAATTTTATTAAATTGGTTTAATTACAGTTTTAAGCACATTATTTATGAATAATTAGTTCATTAAAAACTTAAATTAGAATATGCGTAATACTAATATTTTATTTCTCTGATAAAACTTTCAAATTGAGAAAAAAAAAAGAAGAAAAAAAATTCATTCTCAATAATTATATTAAACAAAGTATATGTATTTGGTTCTTTCTCTATTTTTATTTTTGGCAAAATGTTTTATCTCTATTTAACCATCCCACTTCCTGTAAATTATTATGAAAGAAACTACAATTAGAAAATTAACAAAAAGTTACATAACTATCCAACTTTTAGAATAGCACACTTTATTTAGACTTTGTAACTGAAAACATCTAAGCAAAAGCCATATTTGGTTAAAACTTTGTTGCACTTCTAGTTGTAACAAGTTACTTTTGTTATAAACACTTAAATATTGATTCATAAACCTCTTACATTCAGTTTCACCTCTGTCACCTTCAATATATTTTAGCACTTTTGATTTGGTAAGATTAAAAAAAAAGCACTTCAGCTCAAAGCCATGGCTAGAACTGAATTATCCATAAAAGCACTTTGTTTAATACTTTTTGTAGCTTATGGCAACCTAAAATGTGTCCATGGAGCTGAGTCCATACCAGGTCTTGGTATCAATTGGGGTGCTCTTGCATCACACCCTATGGATCCTCACATTGTTGCAAATATGTTGAAGGACAATGGAATCCAAAAGGTCAAACTTTTTGATGCAGATTCTTGGGTCGTTAGCGCTTTTTCGGGTACGGGAATTGAAGTTATGGTTGGAATTCCAAATGATCAATTGAGTAAATTTGCGAGAAGTAGTTCCGATGCAGAAGATTGGGTAAAAAAAAATGTCACCAAACATCTTTATAACGGAGGCGTTAATATCAGGTGTGTGTACGTGCTCCGTACAGATTCTCTTATTACATTATATTTCTAACCATTAAAATTTATGTTTCTTTAAATTATAAAGTTAAATTTTTACCACTAAACTGTTTATGTTTCTTTAAATTATAAAGTTAAATTTTTACCACTAAACTGTTTTGTTGCAGATACGTATCGGTTGGAAATGAACCGTTCTTGAAAAGTTTTAACGGTTCATACGTGCAGACAACATTCCCGGCTATGCAAAATATTCAAAAGGCCATAGATAAAGCCGGACTTAGAGATAAAATAAAGGTGACAACAGCTTTGAATGCAGATGTTTATGAGTCTAATTCAAACAAACCGTCAGACGGAGATTTTCGAGACAACATTCGTGACGTTATGAAACAAATACTTCAATTTCTTCACGATACGAATTCGCCGTTCCTTGTCAACATATACCCTTTCCTTAGTCTATATCAAAGCGGAAGTTTTCCGAAAGATTTTGCATTCTTTGATACTCAAAGTAGAACAGTTAGTGACAATAATGCACAATACACCAATGTGTTTGACGCAAATTTAGACACACTTGTTTGGGCATTAAGAAAAGCCGGTTACCACGACATGAAAATTGTTGTTGGTGAAATCGGTTGGCCAACGGATGGTAACCAAAACGCTAATCCAGATAATGCAAAAAGATTTTATCAAGGGTTTCTTAAAAAATTGGCTAATAAAGAAGGTACTCCAATTCGCCCTGGGCCAATGGAAGTGTATCTATTCTCTCTTTTCGATGAGAATCTAAAGAGTATCGAACCAGGTAATTTCGAACGTCATTGGGGAATTTTTCGCTACGACGGAAAGGCAAAGTTTCCTATAGACTTTTCTGGTAACGGACAAGAGAAATGGCCACAAGAGGCAAAGGGCGTTAGATACCAAGAACGCAAATGGTGTGTCCTAAGCGCAGAAGTTAAGAATTTGAGTTTAGTCGGGTCGGCATTAGACTATGCTTGTGCCAATGCTGATTGTACAAGTTTAGGATATGGTTGTTCATGTGACAATTTAAACCTAGCTGGCAATGCATCTTTTGCTTTTAATCAATATTTTCAAACAAGAGACCAAGGTGTTGATGCATGTATTTTCAATGGATTGGCTAGTATTGTAACAGAAGATCCATCAAAGGGAACTTGCTTGTTTCCTATAGAAATTGTGAGCAGTGGTGACATGGTGACAGCTATGAGAATTGTGGCAAGTCTTTTGATTGGATTGTCAATGTTTTTTATAACATCATGAATGAATGAATGAATGTAAGAAAAGTTATGTAGATGGTTTATGTCATGGTCATGATTGATTAATGATGAAGATATGCCATGTGTTTTGTAATTTTGTCTTTTGATTGGTTTGAAGGGATTCACACAACATTATCCCTTAATACAACTATAAAGAGATTTTTCTTTTTCATGTTGTTACTTGAAATTGAAATCCTTTTAAGTGTTATCATATTCTTATAAACTTGAATGATATTTTTCCCTAACAATAATTATAATCTTAAATTAAAGATTGTAAGAGTTTGTTTCATTATTTTTTAAGCAAATTAATTGTTTCATTATTTTTTAAGCAAATTAAAATGCAATAAAAATAACGTGAAATAGGAGTGAGATTAACATGTTAGAGTTATATTTTTATTAATGATTTTCTCAAATATTTTACAAATTGAACATGCATATTACATATTAAACAACAATATCATCATCATCACTATTCAAACATCATTATTTTTCTTGATATGTGTGATTTCAATTTTTTTTTGGCCGGTCTTAGGGTTGTTGGTGCAAAGATAGAATAATGAAAATAGGGAAATATTCTATTAAAGAGAATGACGGCAGAAGAAACAGGATTAAGAGTTACAATGATTGTCACCCTATTTATAAGCTAAAACTAGGGTTACTAGAATAAGATAAAATACTAAAATACCCTCTAACAAACTTATGGGCTTAAGAAAATAATATAATAAAATATGAATTATTACTAATACCATCCCTTAATTCATATTCCATCAAAACTTGTAACACCAATTCCATCCCTTAATCTGAGAAATTGATCAGTCTTGATAGCTTTCGTCAGAGCATCTGCCAACTGCTTCTGAGTGCTGCAGTGTACAACTTCTAACACTCCACTCTGAACTTGATGTCTCAAAAAATGATACTTGGTCTCAATATGCTTGCTTCTCCCATGCAGCACTGGGTTTCTGGCAAGGTTGATTGCAGACTTGTTGTCAATCATCAACTTCAGAGGTTTGTCTACCTTAATCTTCAGATCCTGCAACAGATTCAGAATCCACACAGCTTGGCATGCAGTAACAGCACCTGCAATGTATTCAGCTTCACAGGTTGACAACGCTACAACAGGTTGTTTCTTGGAACACCAAGAGATGGGACCTCCCAGAAATTTGAACAAGTACCCAGATGTACTTCTTCTGTCAACTCTGTCTCCACACCAATCAGAGTCTGAATAACTCAGAAGTTCTGACTCATTATTTCCTCCAGAGGGAAATAACACTCCATACTTCAGAGTTCCTTTGATATACCTCAGAATCCTGATAGCAGCTTGGTAATGGGACCACTTAGGTTTACTCATGAACCTACTAACCATCCCAACTGAGTAGCAAATATCAGGTCTGGTATTGCACAGATACCTCAGAGAACCAACCAACTGTTTGAAGGTTGTAGCATCCACATCCTTTCCTTCAGAGTCTGAATCCAGTTTCTGATTTGTATCAGAAGGTGTGACAACCATCTTACAATTCTTCAGATCAAATCTCTTCAGAAGTTCTAATTCATACTTGAGCTGATGCAAAATGATACCTTTCTCAAAATATCTGAACTCCATCCCTAGAAAGTATGTCATTTTGCCTAGATCAGTCATTTCAAATTCATTCATTAGAACCTTCTTGAACTTGGTTATCTCCTGTTCAGAACTTCCAGTCAGCAGTATATCATCAACATATAAACATACCAGAGTCATATTGCCTTCAGAAGTATGCTGAACATAGACACCGTACTCCATCTCACATTTCTGAAAGCCTTGCTTCTTGAAAAATGAATCAATCTTCTGATTCCAAGCTCTGGGCGCTTGTTTCAATCCATATAGAGCTTTGTATAATCTGTACACCATCCCTTCCTGATTCTTTTTCACAAATCCAGGAGGTTGTGACACGTAAACTTCTTCTTCTAATGGACCATTCAGAAATGCAGATTTTACATCTAAATGCATCAGAGGCCAATTCCTGTTAGCAGCTATTGCAATCACCATTCTGATTGTTTCATGTCTTGCTACAGGTGCAAACACTTCAGAATAATCCAGCCCAGGTTTCTGTAGAAATCCTCTGGCTACCAACCTTGCTTTATGTTTGCCAATTGAGCCATCTGGCTTTAACTTCTGCTTGAAAACCCATCTGACGCTGATGGCTTTCTTGTCTTTTGGAAGTTCTGTCAGCTTCCAAGTCTTGTTTCTCTCTATAGCATCAAGTTCTTCTTTCATGGCCTTCAGCCAGAGCTTCTGCTTAAGAGCCTCCTCTGTACTTATAGGTTCAGAGTCTACTAACATGGCACACTGAATAACTTCTCCTTCAGAGTCTACTTCAGTGTCTTGCAGCATGTCAAATTCTGCAAATCTTCTGGGAACGCTTCTGATTCTTTGTGGTCTCTGAACTTGTTCAGAGTCTTGAGCTTCAGAGTTTCTAGCTTCAGATGATTGACCTCCAGAGCTTTGACCATCTTCAGAGTCTGGCATATTTCCAGAGTCTGAATTGCCACCAAGATCTGGATTGCCATCAGAGTCTGAATTATCAGAGTCTGGGTCATCAGAGTCTGGGTCATCAGAGTCACCTTCATCTTCTGAGTCTTCTTCAGAGTTTGAATCAGTATCAGAGTCAGAATCAATATCAGGGTTTACTTCAACTTCAGAAATTCTTAACTCTGACCTTTCTTCAGAGGTTCTAACATCAGAATCAGATTGAGACTTATCCCAATTCCAAACTTCTG